GGGGGGGAGAACACCCCCCCCGCCCCCGCCGTCAACTTTTTGCGATCACGAAATTTTCGTTTCAGGACGACTTCGTTAGACGATGACAACGGCTTTGCTAACTGCTTGGGCGCCCTATAGTCTTGAACAACTGGGTTCAGACTCGCTCTTATATTGCTGGGTATGTTGTCATTTCTTTCTTGGTTCCTTTGAGTGCTACCTGTCTGCGCTATACCTTCAATCTTGTGTCGAACGGTCTTGGAAGGGACACGTTTGTACAGGAATGCGATGCTGCTTGCCTCGCGTCTTCGAATGCTGCAATCCTTCCGCAAGACTGTCCATGCCACCTGTTTTCGCATCGGCGAAGCTTGGCGTGTACTCTACGACAATCCAAAGATCTCAAGAAGTTACAGTTGATGCAGTCAAAGCGGCATCGTAGACAACGCCGCTACTCTGCAGCTCATTAATTCATATCTTGCTCGCTGGGCGACCACAAGCCTTTTCTGTACAGTGTAGACTAACTTAAGTCCCTTCTGTATAGCTACTCTGCCACCCAGGCTGACGTTGCATGCTTCAAGGCCTTGAAGGAGGCCCCCGACGCCAAGAAGTTCCCCCACGCTGCCCGTTGGTACAAGCACATCGCTACCTTCGAGGACGAGTTCGCTTCCCTCTCTGGCGATGCTAGCAAGCCCTACACCGTCTACGGCCCCGAAGCCGCCGAAGTCACTTTGAACCCCGCCAAGGCTCCTGCTGCCGCTGACGACGACGACGATGTCGACCTGTTCGGCTCCGATGAGGAGGATGATGCTGAGGCTGAGCGTGTCCGCGAGGAGCGTCTGGCCGAATACCGCAAGAAGAAGGAGGCTAAACCTAAGACTATTGCCAAGTCTGTTGTCACTCTTGACGTCAAGCCTTGGGGTATGTCCACCTCCCAATTACGTGATTACGGTTATTCGCCACTGTGACCAAGTGCCTAAATGACCCAACTTGGTAGCGGAAAGAATGACATTGTCACGTCAGGTACTTGATTGACATGCTAACGCAGAAAATCACAGATGATGAGACTGATATGGTTGGCCTTGAGTCTTCCGTCCGTGGCATTGAGAAGGACGGTCTTGTTTGGGGTGCCTCCAAGCTGATCCCCGTCGGTTTCGGTATCAAGAAGCTCCAGATCAACCTCGTCGTCGAGGACGAGAAGATTTCCTTGGATGAGCTCCAGGAGGAGATTCAGGAATTCGAGGACTACGTCCAGTCCACCGACATTGCCGCCATGCAGAAGCTCTAAATGCGTTCATCACCGGAACAAACCACGCATTTTAAACTTGCCACTGAACATCACCTAGCAACGACAAATCACCCCCATTGCCGCAATATGAACTTCCACATTCTCTCTCGTTTGAGATATTAGTTCATGAACCAATCCCATTGTCATGGCGTATTAATCATAATGTGAGTTAATGGGACGAGTGGAAGGGCTTTCAACTGCAGTGTTTGGTCTTGTGGCTGTTCGTCTATCACGAAGATCAAAGAAAAAATATGAATAAATGCCAGATGTGAAAATGGGAAATATGGGCTTCATGAACGGATTCTCTATCTGGGAGAGCATGGTAACGTCGCTGATCAATTGTGGAAAAAGTTGTTACTTATAGACAAACCTTGTGGAAAATGAAGTATCATCTCTTTTGCAGTGAATGACCTTTGAGGGTCGCTGTGCATGTGGATAATTTGTTTACGCTCATTGGATTGGTGTATTCCTTCCAAGTAATAATCGGACATTGGGATGGCGTGCCAATTACTTTACCATTTTGCTTGCAAAGTTGAAGGACGAACCCCCCCGGGGAGTCTTGGTCTATTCTATGTTGTTGGATTAATAGCAATTCATACTTGCCAGATCTCTGTAGTATTGCCATTGGACATTGAGGACAGAGGATTCTAGGCCCAACAAGAATATGGGCTGCAGAGTTGGGAGGGAATAATGCGGATCTCGGGAGAGACGCTCGCCACTTTCCGGCCAACGCCCCATCCCCAGGCATTTTGTATACAAGACGTGAGCCTCCTTCAAGCCTGCCGTCAATTTTCATCTGTCCCTTTCTTCTTCCCATGCCTTGCCCCTAGGTAGTTTCTCATTCATACGGCTTATGTTTTAAGCTCAAAGCACCACCATCGCAAACCTGTCACGTGATCCACTACAAGCGGAAACTCGCTCGGTGGCACACTCAAGGGCTTTTTTTTTTTTTTTTTTTTTTTTTTTTTTTTTTTTTTTTTTTTTTTTTTTTTTTTTTTTTTTTTTTTTTTTTTGAACTTGCATACAGATTTGTTGCTTGTTCCGGCCATTTTCAAAGCGCCCCCAAAACATACCTAGGTATACAGCTGATCAGCGCAATGCATGAAACACCCTGACGCGTCGCCCGGTTCTCATCTCATTTCCACCACCACATATCCAAAAATGACCGGCCAGGAAAAGTCTCCATGCCGCATCCTGGTCATGGCCTCTGGCTTTGGCTCAAATTTCCAGGCGCTCATAGACGCTGTTGCCGTAGGACGCATCCGAAACAGTCGGATCATCCGCCTTGTCACGAATCGAAGAAACGCACACGCCACCGCGCGGGCAGAAGGGGCAGGCAAGATGTCACCCTGCCTTCGGGTTCCATGCATCGTCTAACAAGGCGCTAGGTATTCCTTGGGATTACTTCAATCTCATTAGCCACGGATTTCTGCCCAAGGGGGAAAAAGACGAGCAGAAAGTCGCCGAGGCCCGTCAGAGATATGACGCCGCGCTGGCTGAGAGGGTATTATCGGCGGATAATGCACCGCCCGAGCTGATTGTGCTCGCTGGATGGATGCACATATTTTCAAGCGCATTTCTGGAACCGATGGAGAGGGCAGGGACGAGGATCATCAACCTTCACCCTTCATTACCCGGTAAGTTTGCGATGGCTAGTGCCCGAGGCGTGGCTACTCACAGTTTCGGATAGGGGAGTTTGACGGAGCCAATGCCATCGAGCGGGCTTTTGAGGAGCTTAAAGCTGGACGGCTAACGCGCACTGGTATCATGGCCCACTATGTCATTCAAGAGGTAGATAGGGGTACTCCTATTATGGTTGAAGAGATTGAGTGGAAGGGCGAGGAGCTGGACGAACTAAAAGAGAGGATTCATTCCCGTGAGCACGAGCTGATTGTCAATGCGACGGCAAAGGTGGTTGAAGAGATATTGGAAGGGAGGGCAAAGGAAACCTAAAGCCATATGAATACACTCCAAGCTGTGAAGGTATATGTTCCCGCAACAATTTGAGTTCTCAAGTTGGTATGACCCCCTCATAGTAGTGTCATCTAAGGTGGGTGTCTGGTTATTGTGGATTGGTGGGATGCGTGGGAACTGTCGGCTGCAAGATTGACGCTCCCGTCTCATGGATCCTGTAGACGCATTCTCGTGGATGAGAACGTCAATGTGGTTTAAACAAGACTACTACATCCTTCTCAGCCATGCCGTTGATACGTAAGTCTAAAGAGCATTCATTTGCAACTACCGAATCTCAATAACAACCTAGGTCCGTGTCCGTTTCATGAATTCGTACTCACACAGCAAAACTGCAACTCCTCGCTCTTGGGCCAAAATGCCTCCAATGCCAATGCAAAATTTCATGCTGAAAAACAGACCTCCCCACCGCTGCTCGTGCAACTTAGGTCCCTCTGAACAAAAACTGCATATCCTCAGGGCTAAGACTTTCCATGGCCTTGTCATCTGCATTCACAGTCGAGTGAATCATGTTTGTCTTCTTCTCCTGGATTAGAACCATACGGCTCTCTACCGAGTCTTCAATACAAAGTCGCGTAATGGTACAAGGGCGGGTTTGGCCGATGCGATGGCAACGATCTGCAGATTGCCACTCTGCGGCTGGATTCCACCATCTGGAAATTCGTTAGTCGGTCATCGAAAGTTAGGGATGGGAGTTGAGCCTACGGATCAACAATAAAGACTCTCGAGGCTTCAGTGAGATTAAGCGCAACACCGCCAGCCTTGAGAGAAACAAGAAAGCATTCCACATCAACGTTGTTCATGAAATGCTCAATGGAAGCCTGACGCTGCGAGGGTGTCATAGAACCATCCAACATGACGGTCGTAATACCGGCCCTGCGTAGCCGCCATTCAATAAGCTGCAGCATGGTTGTAAACTGAGAGAAGATAATAGACTTGTGGGATGCGTTGTCTGAACGGAGTTTGTGCAACTCGTGGACGAGCAGTTCAATCTTGGAAGATGAGGTCCAATTCTCCATCTTGATTCGGTTAATAATCGAATTCTTCTTGACCAAGTTTTCGTCCTGCTCAATCTCGGGCTGCTCGAGATCTATCGATAGAGGGATATGACAGCGAGGACAGTCTGGGGAATCCGTTGATCCAATGTAGCTAGAAACACAGGCTCGGCAAAAGTCGTGTTTGCATCGACTTCGGATTGTATCCTCCGCTGGCTCGTCGCAAATGCTGCAGATCAATATGTTTTGTCCACCATCAGCATTCTTTTTCAGGATCAAATCAGGGTGATCTGCCACCTGTCTCATTTGCATAATAAGACCAAAAATGTTGGCGTAATTGTTCAACAATACACCCTGGGCGACGTAGGTGTCGAAGTTGCGCTGACCATTAGTCATAATACTATTGGCGAAGTCGTTCTCTTCTTCACCAAAAAATTGCCTTTCAACATAAATTTCCTTGACAGGCAGTTCCATAGAGTTGGTGTGGTCTTTCTTGAGACGACGTAACATGATCCGCTCCGTCATCAACCGAAGCTTGCGAAAAGCCTCCCGACCGGGTCCAAGATTACCAAACTTTTGAATTGGGTTAAGGAGCTCTTGGTTGAAGACGGACACATGCTGCATGCCTGCATGATTGCAATGGGAACAGCGACTATCCTCATCCATCGCCCACTCGAGAGTTGAGCAGGGGCATTGTTTGCAAAGGTAAAGAGCAAAAGGTCTGATATTCAGAAATCTTATCAACGAAAAGAGTTCTCCGATTCGGTTTTGCAACGGAGTTCCTGTCAGACACCAGCGATATGTCGTTTGAAGGGCAAAACAAGCCTTGGCGGTCATAGTTGTTCGCGTCTTGATGCTGTGAGCCTCGTCTAGAATGGCCCGGTGGAAATGAATTGAATGAATTACACTCTTTTCCTTGTGGATGCCATTTTTTCGCTTGAAGCCTTTTTCTTGCTTTCGGTACATTGATTCCAAGCTGTTGTACGACATCATGATCACATCGTATGTCTTGAGCTCTTTAGCGGTGATAGTCTTGGCCTTTTGGTTAGTTCCGTGGAAGACAAAAGTCTTCAGAGTACCATCCGTATACGATTTTATCTCCGATTGCCATTGCATCAATGCGACTGGCGGCACAAGAACCAATGACGGTTGCTTAGCTGGATAATCGGACATAATGAGCGAGACAGCTTGTATAGTCTTGCCGAGACCCATTTCGTCACCTAGTAATCCACCCTTCCATTCTCTCTTTTCCATTTCTTTCATCCAAGCAAGACCTTCCAGTTGAAACGGTTTTAGTTGTCTAGAAATGCTTTGCGGCTGTGGAGCCATACCAGCCTTGAGAATGGGCATCTTTTCCAAGTCTTCCCACATGGTAACAATTTCTGGATGGTGATACTCAAGGCGATCACGTTCCTTCTTAAGGCGTCGCCTGTTGCCCGATCTGTACGCTCGACGGTTGGCAGCAATTCTTCGTAACTCTGACACACCCTCCTCGGCGTCACTAGAGTTGGAAGAGCCCGGGCCAGCAGAGACTGAGGACACAGTGCACATATCCGAAGCGATGCTAACGACTTCTGCGACATCATCGTCGTCCGAGTCCTGGACGACGTCCTGTGCACGGTGAAGCCTTAGAGCAAGGTTTGGTTTGGAACCAGTCGCTGCTGTTGATGGCCGACCTCGTCTGGTTGGTATCTTGGCCTTTGATGACAGGGTTCTTGGTTTTTCAGGCCGCTTGCCTTTTTTCTTGGCGGAAAGAGGTTCATCATCCGAGAAAGCATCAGACGTGCTACCGTCTTCATCCGCCTCAGCTTCATCTGACTCGTCTGAATCAGTAAATGTCGCTTCGCCCTCCGAGAGTTCACTGTCTAGTGCAGCGGCTGCTGCGATTTCTGCATCCATGTCGAAGTCAGATGTTGGAGGGTCGTCTGAATCTGGTATTACTCTGTTCTTCTTTGCTGGCGGAGCCAATTGCATGGATGACCTAGTTGAAGCTCTGCCTCGCTTTGCAATACCGCGGTTGGGCAAAGGTGAGGTGGTTGCAGTCACAGCACGATTGCTTCCACAGAGCGACGAGGACCGCAAAGCTCCTTCATCAGCTTTTGCAAACTCTTCGTCCTGCAATTTACGGGCTATCCTTGCATCCCGCCCTGTATCAGAGGAGTCGTCATCTTCCTCATCAGAATTTACAATTTCAGTAAGTTTTCTATTGGCCTTCATTGAGTAAATGCTATTTCTGAGTGCTCGTTCGCTGTCAGAGTCGTCGGCACGAGACCTGGCAGGTAGCCGTACTTCTAGTGACGGAAGGGACTTCGAAGCCTCAGCAGACACTGATCCCTCTGCAGCCAATGGTGTGGGATACTTGCTAGTAGCAGGCGTAGAGTACTCGGCATCAGATGATAGCTCTAGTGGTGTAGCGGCGGAAGAGACAGATGTGCTGCCGATTACTGATGCTCTTCCCCGTCGTGGGTTGACTCCATTATCATAAGAAGGCGAGGATGTTGCGGAAGTTGTGACCGCACTTAGAAGAGAGGCACGAGAGGGTCTTCCTCGAGGTCGCCTAACTGGCTGTGTTGAGTCGCTGGAGATGACGATTTCATCTCCATTGGCTGGTCTGGATGAAACTGATCTAGTCCGACGGGTGCCATTCACATCAGGCGATTCTATATCGCCTGTCAGAAAAGGAATCAAGCCCAAATCGGATAATACCAGATGCTTACCAGGAACCTTTAATAGCGGCATACCGCCGGCTTGAAGGGGGCGACGGCCGCGAGGCATTGTGTTGATGCACGCTCAGCCTAGGCTCCGGTGACTAGGTTGGGCGAGACGAAGTGCCAATCTATGATGACAAGTAAAGAAGACAAAACTGGGCTGAAATGTTGTCTTGTATGTTGATCCTGTAGGAGGCAGACAAGAATCTACCAAGGTACTTCGACGTTTTGATACGGTGCAAAGACGACAGAGTTGCAAACGCAGCCCGGGGAAAAGAAAGAAGCGTCAACTGGTCTGTGGCCCAATTGCTTGGCTAGCAACACGTTACACGACGTTGCCTGGAGAAAAGAACAATAGAGACAACAGTCTTCAAGGACGCTCGAGCAACGAAGGGGTTGTCAAATATCATCACTGAATCTGCAGTTCTTTGTTGATCATTTTTCTCCACAGATGCAAACTGCCAGGAACGAAACTTTGCCACTGAGATGATCAGGTGCTGAGATTTCCCGCCAAAAACGCCCTCCGTGACTTGCGGCTGCCATTCACAGTGCGCTCAATGCGCTCAGTTCTATTTCGCTCTACAACGCCTGCCCAAAGCCACGGCGCTTGCCCGCGTTGGCAAGGCGAACACGAAAGCACGTGCTGGAAACCAGGGGTCAAATAGACAGTGCTTACCAGATATAGCACGGTACTAATCATGTTGCGCTCTGCGCGCTTCTAACAAGTCTGTGCATTGCTCACAGTGCCAGATGTTTTCAATTAATGTTGGACGCCACTCACCTGACACCGTGTTAGCTGCGCGAATGCACAGAGGCACGTTCCAATTGGCACTGGGAAGACGAAGGGCGATTTGAACAGACTGACATAGCGTGCGATGCAGGTCGGTCTCAGAGCTGGTATGTCGTAAACTTGCCACCCGCATGGTCTGGCAGTGCAGTCTGGTCCATTACCACGTGTATCTCGACCTCCTTTACAACACACTCGGCAAGCTTCGCCCTCTACGGAGAGCCTTCAAAGAGCTTGCTTTTCTCGAGCTTCATCCACCATGTAAGTCAAAGCGAACCCGTTGTATCGCAAACGGCTGATATGACGAGCATCAAAAATTGACATGAGTGTACAGGGCTCGCCGGAGTCAAACACAAAACCAAGCCAATGGTGAAACTCCAAGGCCAACACGCAATATCACCGGACCGTAAGACCATTCTGCCTGTACTTCCTTGCCACTTTCCTCCCTAGGGCTAACCCAGCCAACACAGTCAGTCTGCCTTGACGGATTTC